ATCCGATGTGTTAGAACGCGACAGACCCGACCACAAATGTTTTAAGAACATTTCGTGCAGCCCACAAACGGTTCTTAGAACATGTTTTGGTAGGCCTATAGGTGAGCCAGGACACTTTTGACGAAGGGGGGAGGGCATTACATCAGCGGGGGGGGAGGGCATGACGCGCGTTCTGGCCCAGAGGATTAAAAAGGCTCTCAACTGGGAATTCGTCGTCAGAGCGATTACGAGCATCGCGCTACCACGGGGAAGGCCGAGTGAGGATGAGGAACGAAGGGCCCCTGTTCTGGCCACGGCGAGCCCCGGCTGCGAGCAGGTTTGCCGACTGAACTCTGAGGAGCGGCTCGAATACAAAAAGCCCCTCCGGAGCCCAAAGTGGTCCTTGGCTGCTTCATGGATGAAGCCCCATCAGGGGGCCACTCGGCCAGATTGGACGGCCTTCGCCCGGGGATCACGCCTTCGGCCCAGGACTGAGCCCGATTCGTGGGGACTGAGCCAGTGGAGCGGGATTGGATTCGACCAGGGATATACCAGGCTTCGACCGTGGATTTAGGATCATCGCCGTCCTGGCCCCGCCCGGCGATCTTCGTCCCAGGACCCCCTGACCTCCTGCGAGGGGCCCAGATCGTCCCCCCAAACTGCACCAAGCTGTTGTCTGGGGCATGGGCCGTAGACGCCCTGGAGCTCCGTTTCAAAGCAGATCCCCGAACAGTGCGTGCCCTTTGGGGGTCTTACTCTCCTCCCAAACGTATTTGGCTCGCTGTGCCGAGGTTTCGCCACGTTGCCGCCTGTGCCGCCTAGTCGGCGCCCCGTGCGCTTGGTGTGTTTCACGAGGTTGCCCCGTGTTGCCGCCCGTGCCGCCTGAGTGGCGCCTCAAGGGTGCCTCGTGCTCGGAGTTTATACGGCACAGGTGTCACCACATAGCTAGCACCACACAGCGTACACCGCAGAGCGTGCATAACATAACAAACATCGAATAGCTTACACCCCGTAGCTTCCCCCCCCACATTACACAGAGTAACCTACACGGCATAGCTTACATCGCATAGTTTTTACCCCCATAGCCCACACCACACAGCTTACACATAGCCTTCTCCACACAGCTTACATTGCAAACCTTCCACGCCCACAATACAGTAACGCATTGTGTGGGGTCCACTCTGGCTAACCTTCTGATGCACACATGAGCAACTGCACAAATGTTTGACAATGCCCGCCAAAACAAATCAAGGATTGCGCAGTGGATGTGCAAGCGAGGTGGTGCAACCATGTGGTGAAAGCTATGCGGTGCAACCTATGTGGTGCAAGCTATGTGGAGCAACATATGTGGTGCAATCTGCGTGGTGCAGGCTAGGTGGTGCAAGCAATGTGGTGTAAGCAGTGTGGTGAGCAGCTACATGGTGCAGGCTTCGTGGTGCCATCTATGTGGTGCAGGCCCTGTGGTGCAATGTACGCTGTGCAAGCCAGGTGATGTACTCCAGCTTCCGTAATAAAAGGGAAGGGGTCTGGACCCTCCAAGACAAGCCGTTTCAGACCTCCCCCGTGGGAGAACCCTCCAAAACATCGCCCCCAGACCCCCCCAGGCCCTCCAAGATGGCCTGGAAGGGACCCCCCCCCGAAATGAGACCCCCCTCCCTTTTATCACGAAATCTGGAGTAAGCTGTGTGCAAAAATTTGTGTAGTGCAAGCTGCGTGGTGCACGCCATGTTGCGCTGTGGGCGTGCAAACCTGCGCGGCGCAGGCCATCGCGGCGCCCGCGGGGCGCCCACCAGGAGACACCTCGGCAGGCCCCCCCAGGCGCGGGGCGCCGCCCACGAGGCGCCCACGGGCGGGCGGGCACCGGGCGAACCCTCGCCATGACCCCCCCCTCTCCTCCTCCTCCCCCCTCCCCTCTCCTCCTCCTCCTCCTCCTCCTCCTCCCTCCTCCTCCTCCTCCTCCTCCTCCTCCTCCTCCTCCCTCCTCTCCTCCTCCTCCTCCTCCTCCGCCTCCTCCTCCTCCTCCTCACTCCTCCTCCTCCTCCTCCTCCTCCTCCTCCTCCTCCTCCTCCTCCTCCTCCTCCTCCTCCTCCCCTCCTCCTCCCTCCTCTC